TTTTCCCTCTCCAGCGCCATAAGTCACCACTGAAAATTGTTTTTTCCAGTAGCAATTACCAAAAAAAAAAACCTTTATTAATTCCTTAACAGAACGGAAAGCGTATGCACGCTGTGTGTGTTGTTAACAGTGGAACTTCCACAGGCCTGACTTACGCCGCTTACTGGGAACCGCGGTGTCTAACTCAACACATTTCAATTACAACAATACAGGGGAAAAAGTCATCAAGGCACAAGCTTCGTACCCGGACCCACCCCGTCCTCCTTCTGGAACCATCCTTAGAGGATTTTGTTCCACAGCTAAGATCTTAGCAGCAGTCAATGAGCGAGTTTACTCCGCAATACAAGTTCCTGTTTGTAACGCGTATCTGCAGACTCTTTTAATATCAATAGTGGTGTACAATACGTGAAAATATTCCCTCTGGTTCTTTTCCATCTCCCAGGGCAGCAAGGAAGCCTTCTTGTCTCCTCCTCTGGGCTAAGGCAGCTAGGGACTTGAACGTCTTCGGCTCATAAATAGCCAAATCAGCAATCATTTTCCTATTCAGCTCTACCTGGGACTAAATGCAAGAAAATTTGTTGGTTAAGTACTGTAATTTTTAGGAACACTGCAATGCTTAATGATTACCTGAGGTCTTAAGGCAAATTACCTTTTTTCTGTACTGTACAATATTGGAACTATTAGTCACAGAACTGTCAGACATGACTTCTTGGCCATGGATGTCTCATCAAGCCACTGTGTAAAATTAGTTTATTGATTTTCTCAAAGTCTGGTAGAAACCAAGAACTGAAGAAGAACGTCTTAGTTCATGGAAGGCCACATGTTACAGGCTAATCCATGGCATTTGTTTCAGTTCTGAGACATACTCAAGTTTACTTGTTGTGCTAGAAGCTGCTTGGTATCTTAAAATGTGTCCTGGAGTGGAGAAAGAAAGACTGCAGCATCAAATACTCTTAACAAAGCTAGATATTGAACGGTTAACTGCATATTCTAAGAGGGAGGTATGATATAAAACAGTTTGCTTCTTTTGGATCTTTTAACAGAGAACCTTACAAAAATACATTGCTCTGAGACAAGAATCAAAGGGACAGGCATGGGGGGGGGGGGAAGAAAAAAAAGAAAAATGAGTTAGCGTTTAGGCAGTGCTTGATTCTTTTGGTACAGTATGACAAGAGTAACCAGGGGAATGAGTGTATAAATTTCAGAAACTGTATTACTTTACAGGAAACACATCAGAAAACCTAGCAAGTTATCTATTTATTTGAAACATAGATAAAATGTTTTGAAATATGCTATAAATTCATGTGTAGTTCCACTTTAAGAAACAGAAACACTGCCCTTTTATTACAATCACAGCCAAGAGGAACAAGCTTTAATTTCACAGTTCCAGTATCAACAAATTAAAACCAGTTCCCCAGCATGTTTAAGAACAAGGGACAATGGCACCAACTCCCTGCATTGTCCGTGCTCACCGAAACACACAGCTAGTAGTGAAAAGAGCAGAGATTTCTTAGGGTTGTTTCTGCTAATCCAAGCTTTGTATCTTTACATTTCTTGAAGTAAAGGCAGCTGTCACTTAATGCCCACAGCAGCAGCAAGTGTAAAAAGCATTTTACAAGTCTCGTTCTTGAAGTAAAAGTTCTGGGGACAGAACAAGGTGTAGAGCAACAATGTTCATCAGGATAAAAGAGGATTATGCACATAAGGAAGAGAAACAGGTTTAGGGCAGAACTTAGTTCCTGAAGTGAACGAAACTCCTTTCATAAGCAGAAGGCCTTTCATCACTAGAACCAGGAAGCAGGACAATGTTGGCAGAAGTTCAGTCTAACAGAAGGAGCTTTTCAATCCCTCCACCGTGCCCTATGCCGCTATCGCCTGCTCACGCTCCAATTTGGAAGTCCCCACCATTATTCTTCAAAGATTGGCAAGTGGAGGCTGCAGCTTTAATTCCTTGCAGTTGCATTCTTAGACAGTAACCAGCAACCCTTTGATATGTTTTGTCATCTACTTGAAAGATTTCAGAATTTTAAGAAATTAATTTGCCTGGCACTTCAGAAGACCTCTATCAGACATTTTCTCCAATTTGTTGTTTCAAAGTAGTTATTCTTCAAGCACCATCCTTACCTTAAGCAGATTGCTTATGAAAGCTGGGTATTTCAAACCATGTTCAAGAGAAGCTGCTTCAATCCTAGTGATCCAGAGCTAGAAGTGTAAAAATGAACATCTTGGGTGATAAAATACTTTAAAAGTAAACCTTTTATCATGCTGATCTGCTCACACTTAGTAAATAGAACATTTTCAGACCTACAGTCTTCTCAGTGCAACATATACATGTATGAAGTTCAGAACGTGAGCTGTTTCAGACCACAGAGGGACTATGCTTTAAACTCATATTTTTCACCCCCTGGTAAAACACTTTGAGAGAACCCCCCAGTAAGGGAAATAGCTATTTCAGTTCTGCTCTTCTCCCATTTTAGTGTCTACATCTAACATTTTGCTCTTTACCGCTCTTAAGAATCTCTTCTTCTCTCTCCTGGCCTTTGTAGACTTCACAAAAGCTCTCCGAACACTTCGTACAGCCAGCCTATAGCAGCGGTTCTTCCTTCCACGAAAATGCTGAAACAAAAACAAGATGTTCTTGTTCAGTTATATTTAAGCTGTTAAACCCTTCAGTAATACTAATACATGCTCATTTGCAATTCACAACTCTTCGTAACAAGGATCACAAAATACTTCACAAACATCAGCTAAGCCTTCAGTTGGCGTATAATGAAAGTATTTGTTCCTTGTTTTATAGCATAGGAAATCTGAAGCTGAAAAGTTGGAGCAGGCTGAAAAATTTCAGTCTAGCAGGAGGGAGCCAAAACCAGACCTCATTTCAGGCTGTGGTGCCGGGGGGGAAGGCAACCACAAAATCATCTTGAGGGCTTTCAGCCAGCCCCATAACTCACACGTTTATTCTCATTCGTGAGCTGCCCTCTCAGTTTTGTCAGTACGAATACAGGGATGGGACAGGAGCCTCTGTCCTGTCAAAAACATTGCAGTTGCCCAAACAGAAAGCATAACGAAAGAAGTTTACTGGAGTCACTGACATCCATCTAACACGAAGCAGGAAGAAGTTGCCAGTGCTGCACAGTCAGAGAAATAAATAATTACTACTGGTACTGTGGGCAGCTTAGGCACTACAAGACCAAGATACCATCACTTACTTCAACATTTTCCATCTCAATGCTACAGCAAGATGCAGTAAAAAGAAAAAATCTAAAAAATCTACTACCTCCCAGCACGCAAACAGTCTGACCTTGAAAAAGGTTCTTCCCGAGCCTAGGTACAATAGTTTGAACTCCAGGTGAAATCATGCTGTGAAGCGGTCTCTTTCACCTTTTAAAATGCACTTGAAGAGCAAGGTTAATTTTTTTTCCCTTTTTTCCCTTTTTTCCCTTTTTTTCCCTTTTTTCCCTTTTTTTCCCTTTTTTCCCTTTTTTTCCCTTTTTTCCCTTTTTTTCCCTTTTTTCCCTTTTTTTCCCTTTTTTCCCTTTTTTTCCCTTTTTTCCCTTTTTTTCCCTTTTTTCCCTTTTTTTCCCTTTTTTCCCTTTTTTTCCCTTTTTTCCCTTTTTTTCCCTTTTTTCCCTTTTTTTCCCTTTTTTCCCTTTTTTTCCCTTTTTTCCCTTTTTTTCCCTTTTTTCCCTTTTTTTCCCTTTTTTCCCTTTTTTTCCCTTTTTTCCCTTTTTTTCCCTTTTTTCCCTTTTTTTCCCTTTTTTCCCTTTTTTTCCCTTTTTTCCCTTTTTTTCCCTTTTTTCCCTTTTTTTCCCTTTTTTCCCTTTTTTTCCCTTTTTTCCCTTTTTTTCCCTTTTTTCCCTTTTTTTCCCTTTTTTCCCTTTTTTTCCCTTTTTTCCCTTTTTTTCCCTTTTTTCCCTTTTTTTCCCTTTTTTCCCTTTTTTTCCCTTTTTTCCCTTTTTTTCCCTTTTTTCCCTTTTTTTCCCTTTTTTCCCTTTTTTTCCCTTTTTTCCCTTTTTTTCCCTTTTTTCCCTTTTTTTCCCTTTTTTCCCTTTTTTTCCCTTTTTTCCCTTTTTTTCCCTTTTTTCCCTTTTTTTCCCTTTTTTCCCTTTTTTTCCCTTTTTTCCCTTTTTTTCCCTTTTTTCCCTTTTTTTCCCTTTTTTCCCTTTTTTTCCCTTTTTTCCCTTTTTTTCCCTTTTTTCCCTTTTTTTCCCTTTTTTCCCTTTTTTTCCCTTTTTTCCCTTTTTTTCCCTTTTTTCCCTTTTTTTCCCTTTTTTCCCTTTTTTTCCCTTTTTTCCCTTTTTTTCCCTTTTTTCCCTTTTTTTCCCTTTTTTCCCTTTTTTTCCCTTTTTTCCCTTTTTTTCCCTTTTTTCCCTTTTTTTCCCTTTTTTCCCTTTTTTTCCCTTTTTTCCCTTTTTTTCCCTTTTTTCCCTTTTTTTCCCTTTTTTCCCTTTTTTCCCTTTTTTTCCCTTTTTTCTCCTTTGCCCAGTTAAAAAAAAAAAAAACAAAACCAACAAAACCCGACAACCAACACCAGCCTACGGCGTGCTGTATTTACAGCCTGCTCTTCCCGTGGTGCTTGTATTCCTTCTGCCACAGGGCTCTGACTTTTGTTCATACCCATCCACAGCCTCCGGCTTTAATCAAACACAGGCGAATTTAGAGAAAATACTAAATGGGCGTCAGCCAGCTTCACGGACCCTCGACGTCTGCAGGAGGCGGCAGCACCCCACCGCTGGCTGCCCGAGGCCGCTCTGACAGGCATACTTGAGCCCCTCCTGCCCCCTCCAGAAGCGGTCGGTGAGGCGGCTGCGGAGCCAGCGGGCAGCGCTCAGCACCACCATCGCCGCCGCCGCTTCCCGGCGCCCGCCGCCTTCCGGGGCGGGGAGAAGGGGCCCGGCCGCGGCCCTTCCGCCCGCCCCGGCTCCCCCTCCGCTTTTCGGTTGTTGCTCACCTCGGCAGTTCTGTAGTGCTGTGGATCTAGAGGATCTAGTGGATGCTCAGGGATGAACTGCAGTAGTCTGTCTTTGGTAGTGCTTGGTAACGACCGCAGACTTTACAATGAGGTATACAGGCTCTGAAAACATTGTTTTCTGCCTGTAGCATGATGCCTAATGCTTTTCACCCAGAGACTGAATGAATTACGGTCACTGCTAATAATTCCTTGTGGTTAACAGGAAATAACAGCCTTTTCTCCTGTTACCAAACTCCTTTCAGAAGTGCTGTCAGCATTCCATTCTACAGTAAGAATCTACAGGTTTACCGCTTTCAGTTGTTTTTTATTTTTGCTTATTGCTGGCTAAGCTTTTCTCCAGTCAAAGATCATGGAATCGGTTAGGCTGGAAAAGACCTTTAAGATCATCAAGTCCCAGTGACTTGGGTGTCAGCTGTTGAGAGCTTTCGAAGGTAAATGCAACTGCCACAGACCAAATGGTACTCGACGAGCACCGTTACTGCGATACTGCTGGTACACTGCAGCCCTATCGATCATCACTGACCTGTCTGCAGTCTAACACACTCTTAGATGATCACCTGCTCTTAGTATGCAAAGGCTCAACCTTTAATTCTTTAGTTTGCTCAGTAAAGTGCTTTCAGTGAAATAGTAATCCATGTGTCCACAGAGACGTGAGGAGGGAGCAGCTTTGCCGTTTTGAATTCTCCTTTGTCCTGCGAGGTACTGGAGTCGTTTGTGAAGCTGTGCGAAGGCTGGGCCTCCTTTGCAGCCGCTGTTCAGTACCCATCCCTGCACCACCGGACTACACTGCTAGCGGTGCTCAAACTAGCAATGCTAAAGCAGCCTGAAAAGTTTTTGTGTTGTTTTCAGTGACTGGAAGAATTCCGTACTTGGTAGCATGTCTTGCCGTATCCTGTGTGCAAGAGATTGTGAGATGTAAAATGAAAATTTATGAACGGTAACAAACCACAAGATGGTGCTGTCATTATAGACAGCAGAAGCATTATATCTTAGCAACAAGAAATCTCTGCCCTCAGAGAACTAATGAATTTGTCTGACCATCTTTAATCATTACCAGTTTCAGCCTCTCAAAGCAGTGATGCTCCTGTTTGTTAGAAATCGCTCCATAACTTGCACCATCATCAAGACACCTTTCCCACTTATGGGCAGGTACTTGTTAAGGATGTGGAGATTTCACAAAATGAGAGGCTTGGGGAATCTTTCTTACTGTCACTGGGGTTTGTTTGACACGAAGGTCACTTGGTTATTAGAAGAATCATTAGAATGTGTGATTTTTTCCAAAGGAAAATGAATCTAAAGAATGCAATTTTCAGACCTCCCACAGGTTAAAATGCATTATCATTATAGCAAAAGAACTTTGGAAAGTTTCACTGGATTTCACAAAGCTTTTTAGAATTTATGGCACTTTTATGACTACTTAAGCAGCTTTGTTTTTTACCACACCACCATGCCCTCACCGACAGATGGTAAAACCCCTTTGTATTTACAAAGGAATAAAAGTGGCCCAAGGACAATCGCTGTGGTGATGGGGTGCAGCTTGTTAGAACACCTACTGATTCAAGCTCCTCTGGTGCTTGCCAGAGCCATTTCTGGCTCCTACACCCGTCCTGCAGCGAGCTCCAGAGTCCCAAAATGCAAATGATCCAGGGGCTTGGCATGGTGGAAGGCGGCAGCATGGAGCGAGAGACCCGGTCTGGGACTGTAGAGAGGAGATGGGATGCAAGCAGAAGTGCTTTTGAAATCCATTTTAAATGTCTGGATTAGTTAGTACACCTTTCAAAAATATTTCAATGCTCAACATTCAAAAATGAAAAAGCAGAGGAACATCTTCATAATTCAGAGACAGTTGTCTGTTGTTTTTTGACTTATAATGCAGAGCTGTGGTAAATGAATTTATAATCAGTTTAAAGAAGTAATTTTCAGAGATATTTTTCAGTTTGAAAAACAAGGAAAACCATTATTCCCTGTGCTGAGAGCGTGCAGTTCACCGTGGCGCCCAAGATGTTCTTTAGCACTCGAGCTAGGTGGGGTACCTAAACACAAGGATAATCTTTCAATGGAAGGAAATAGGATTCCTCGGGGCAGTATTCCACAGTGAAATTCAGCTTATGTCATGGCTCCTTCAACCCCTTCTACTCAGTTCTGTGCCCCTGGTTTCACTTCTCCCCAGCGAGGCAGGCTCAGGTGGCCCAGGACTCCCCTCTGCGGCTGGGGAACTGGCAGGCTGGCTGCGGACAAAGAGCTTCAGCGCTTTGGTCGCTCTGGTACCAGAAACTCTTGGTCCCTGCTGCCCAAAGGAGAGTAATTGCTTTCTGGATTTCACATTTCTGTTCCCTGCCCTGCTCCTTCAAGGGCAGCTGAGTTCAATACAAACAGATGTTGACTTTAATCTGTGCTACAAATTAATGTCTTATTTACCAGCATATTCTTTCTGGAACAAATCAGGATACAGGCTGCTGGCAGTGCTGGCAGTCTGAGAGTCTATTTTTAACCTTCTTCCCCTCACTTGGCACGTCAACTTTTTTTTTTCTTCCCTTGGAAGAAAACTCAACAGAAAAAAAAAAAAATAAAAAAAAAAACAGTTTAATTAAATCCGTGTTACCTTTCAGTGTTAGATTTACTGGCACGTCAACTTTTTTTTTTTCTTCACTGTGAGAGAACTCAACAGTAAGAATAAATAATAACAAACAAAACAGATTAATTAAATCCAGTGTCACCTTCAGTGCTAGAGCTACAGGAAATAAAATTACTTGAGAGAAATCTAGTTTGAGTCATTAGCACCAGTCCCTGGTGAGGAACAGTGCAGCTTCCCTCTACTTTGGGTGGAGAATGGGTCTCTGTAGCTCCGGAGTGATGCTCCCTCCTTCCCCTCTTGCTCCCTGGGGGTGAGAGGCTTTTCCCTCCAGTCAGGAACGCCCAAGCAACGGCACATACCCAGCCCAACCAAACCCCACCATCGCCGGGGAACAGCCACCGTTTCTCCATTTGGGATGAATGTCAGGCGAAACTAAGAGCCCTCACTCGAAACAGAGGCAAATACAGGGCACGAGAGGCAAAGCAATTTTCTTTGCCGTTGTCTGGCTGTTGTGTCTAGGGGAGATGCAGAAGACATTCCAAAGAAAATGTGCTTCAGGGAAGAAGTGAGAAAGACACAGCTGGAGCAAGCCCTGAGAGCAGGGCTTCCAGAGAGTCCTTTTGGGCAGAGTGCTTGCTGGAAAGGGGCTAGCCTTCTAGGCAAAAAACCACCTCCTGTTATTTGTTCCTTGTCACATTTAAGAAAAGTTACTTTTGTGCCACTTGGTAAATAAAGAGGATTATATTGGAGATACTGGCTCCCCCTTTTATTTTCTCCTTCCCAAAACATCATGAAGAACCTGGAATTTTGCATAAATAATAAACCTTCCATCATCGCTGCCACAGTTAGGTCTGAAAAGGTTTTTCACAACTCAAAGCGGGATGGTGAGAGCGCTGCAGCTCAAAAACTAAGAGCCTCAAGAATGAAGTGTGTGCACGTGGATGTGAACACCCTTGATTTATATACATTACTTTCACAGCAAAGCCATTAATTCTGAGAATTGCGGAATACTAGCCTGGCTTTGTAACTTTCCCAGGCTCGTAAGCAGATGACTGCACTGGGATAAGATATTGAGATATCTGCTCCCACACCTCCCTGTGCCTTCCACTCTACAGCCTGGTTCCCCGGGGAGCTGGCTGACAATAGCAGTGACATGTGTGTTTCCAGCAAAAAACCCTTTTGATTAGTTCATCAGGTTTGGTTCTTAAAAAGAGGTGGGAACCAAGGGCTAGGGAAGAGATGACCCATCTTCACAACTACAAGCAAACTTTCCCTTTCCAGCACAATCTGGGGTGTTAGGGCCCTCAGGGCATCAATACGCAGTAATCGCCCTGGTAAGCCTCAGCTGAGGCTTCCACCCACACCCTCTGCCGGGGGCCATTTAAGCTCAGGCCTGGGAATTTCATTTCTGCCTGAGCTGCTGTGGTAGGTGTACCTGTTTCTGGGGCTAGCTAGGTTACTGCCGAGGCTGGTCATGGACTCTGACCTGTAGACTGACTTCCCAGCTTGACCTTGGACCTGCCTTGGAATGGTAAGCTTGCCTGAAGATCTGGACTCTTAGCTGAATCTGACCACCATCTCCAAGTCTACTGTTTTCACCGAGCTTGGGTGCTGCGGGATGGAGCCTTGGCTGGCAATGCTCTGCCCTGCTGGCTGTGCTATTGCACTTGGCTCCCTGTCCCTTAGGGAGCAGCAAGAACTTAATTATTGCCCAGCTTCCAGCAGTCTCCTGTGGCTGAAGCTTTGTGTTTTTCTGATGGGCTTTGAGATGTGTCAATGGCAAGCACAGAAAAAAGTGCCCCACGGAGTTATCAGTTATTTCTGCTGTTAGTAAGAGTGATACACCTGACTTGTGATCTGGTATGGATTAGCTAGATGGATTTTTACTGCTGGATACTGATAGAGCTGAAGCTTGTGAGACCCTTTTGGATGTCTAAGAGGCTCTACAGGAAGAGTTATAGGAAAAAAACCTGAAGCACTAAGTGTGGATCAACTAATAATTTTCATAGCTAGGGAATTGCATAACAAGTATGGACATTGTTAAGCTGTTTAAAATCTACTTATTTTGTTTCAAAAGTCTTCTTTCTCACTGGTATCACTTGTTACACCTTTGAAATCTGTACCCTCACACAGCTCTTTAACTCCCTTCAATTTTAAAGCCTCTGTTTGGATATCGATTACATGTGGCAGGTTGCAAATGGTCTCAATTTGTCTCGCTGCTTTCTTTCCACAAGTAGTGTGTCACACTCTGCCAGCCTGGGGTGAGAAGGTACTGTCAGCAGCAAGGGAACAGA